GAGCTTGAACCTGGAGAAAAGGCATCCCATTTTGCCTGGCACTAACTGCCAGCATGTTTGAGCTGAAGACTTTCCGAGAGTTCTGGGCACAGTGTAACCAAAGGTTTCTTTCACAAGAAAAAGGTTTACTTCAAGTGAGACAGTGGGATACATCAGGGTCTTCCTGGGCTCTGCAGTAGTTTTCACAATGAACAAGTTTTGTTCATTAAGCCCCCGGTTTCTGGCTTGCAAATGAAGTTTTAGACCAGCACATTATAGAGAAAGCAGAAAAGCTGTGTCCATACAGAAGAGATGCCAACTATATGGGGATGAAGTACCTAAACAGAATAGCAATGGAAAGCCTTAGACTGAGGAGTGGTGAGGCACTTCACCAGCACAAAACTGTGAGCAGTCCTAAGACAGAGAACAGTTCTTTCTCTTTTTAACTGTGGTAGAATTCACATGACAGAAATTTTACCATCTTTATCATTTTAAGTATATAGTTCAGTAAAGTATATTCACATAATAATGTGAATATAAACAATGTTATATGAATATTCACATGACAATGTGAATATATTTAATCTCCCAGAGCTCTTTTCACCATTCCAAATTGAAACGCTGTATTTGTTAAACACAAATTTCCCATTCTCCTCTCTACCCAGACCCTGGCAGCAATCATCTGTCTAGATGAATTTGACTCCTTTAGGTACCTCATGTAAGTGGAATCATACAGCATTTGTCTTTTTATTTCACTTGGCACAGTGTCCCCAGTGTTCATCTGTGCTGTAGCATGTATCATAATTTCCTTTCCTTTTAAGGCTGAAAAATCCATTGTATGTATACCCCGCACGTATCTACTCACTTGTCAACGGACATATGGGTTGCTTCCACCTTTGGCTTTTGTGAATGATGCTACTATGAACATAGGTATGTCAATATCTCTCTAAGACCTGCTTTCAATTCTTTTGGATGTATATCCAGAAGTGGACTTGCTAGATCATAAATTCTATCTTTAATTTTTTAAGGAATTACCATACTTTTTCATAAGGGCTGCATCATTTTATAGTCTCAGCAACAGTGCATGAGGGTTCAAATTTCCCCATGTCCTTCTCCACACTTATTTTCAGGTTTGTTTTTTGAAAGTAGCCATCCTAATGGGTTTGAGATGGTATCTCATTGTGGTTTTGATTTGCATTTTCCTAATGATTAGTGATGGTGAGTACCTTTTCATGTGCTTGTTGGTCATTTCCTTCTTAAGGAAATGTCCATTTCAAGTACTGTGCCAATTTTTAAAATTGGGTTTTTGTTGTTGTTGTTGAGTTGTAGGAAAAGAACAGGTCTTTCATGTTTATATCTTCAGAACATAGAATAACAACTGTCATGAAAAAAAATATTTGTTGAATGAATATGTCCTGGGTTGCTTTCATCCAGTGATCTTATTCTAAGATTTGATATAAGTAATGACCAATAGCTAGAGGTGGACATTCATACTGATGGGTAAAATATTATACTATATTTAAAATGAGATTGCTTAAAAGACAAAGAGGTGAATTTTGGATTCTACAACTTAGTTGGATGAATGTGCCATGGACCAATTCAATCTACTTGGCTTCTCCTGGTACTTAAGCTAGACCTTGTGTCCATCAATAATGGTGATGGGAAAGGAAAAAAAGAGAGACAGCCATTTAATTACAAATATTCGTGCTTCTTAGAAAAATACATATGTAATAAAGGTAGCATTTCTTCTTAGGAGGTTAAACAAAGCTTCTATCCATTTCTGGTCACCGTCTTTGATTTATTTTGTGACATTTCCTTCCCCCCAAATTCCTCAGATCTTCTCAGTAATGGCTTAGAAGGACATGAAAAACAATTAGTCTGCACCTTCTGTCTTGCCACTGGATGGCAGTACACCTACACCCCTGCATGCCCTTAAGGAGAAATCTTTCTGTGAGCACAAGTCTTGACTTGTCCAATTGGAGAAGACTGGAGATTTTGGCAGAAACACTTGTTTTTTTTTTTTTTTTTTTTTTTCCTATTTCTCCCTGAGTTTCTGTGGTAGAATGTTAACATCTTACTTCTTCATGTTTATCCCATGACCCAAAAGAACCCTGGCTTCAGTGTCATCTCTTCTGTACTTCTTCCCTTCCCTCAAGTCTGATTTAGTTGTCATTCTTTCATCTTCTTGTAGTGCCTGTGCTAAATAACTACTTAATGACGCTGCCATGTAACCAGTGATTTGTTGGTTTGTATATCATCTTTGGAGAAATATCTATTTCAAGTCCTTTGCCCATTTTTATTTATTTATATTTTTAAAAAAATTTGTATATTTAGTGGGTACAAGTACAGATTTATTACATGCAATATTGTATCATAAACTCCAAGCTTTTAGTGTACCCATCACTCAAGTAATGAAATTGTACTCAATAAGTAATTTTTTAACCCTCACTCCCCTCCCACCCTCCTTGAAAAATAGACACTGAAGACTACAAAAGACTACCATTGCTCTGTATGCCCATATGTAATTGGGTTGTTTGGTTTTTGTTGTTGTTGTTGTTGAGTTGCAGGAGAAGAATAGATTTTTTTTTATGCTCATGCCTTTAGAACTTAGAGTAACAACTACCATTAAAAATATACATGTGTCTGTGTTTTACTGAGGAGAAGCAGAGGCACTCATTTGACTTGCATCTCTGGCACTTACCATGGTGCCTGTATGTAGTGGGTGGTCAATCAAGACTTGTTATTTGAGAGAAATTCTGGAAGAGTGGCATCAGAAAGATGGAAGAATAGAAGATCCCTTGGTATCACTCCCTTCACAAAAATACATCTAGAAAATATTCGAAGACAAGGATATCATTATAAGTTTACCAGAACTTGGGGGAAAAGTGGAGAAACCCACTGGGCCCACAGAATAAAGAGAAGCCACAACTGGTAAGAGAGACGGTCATTTCAAACTGTTGTGCATTCTCTCCTCAAAGCCAGCATAATGCCACTCGTAGAGAATTTCCCTAAACCAACAGTTTCTGAGGTAAGAGGAGGGAATTGCAGGTGTACATTTAATCTCCCTAAAAATATGGGAATCTTTGCGGAAAGCCCACTCCAGTCCCATCCCACAAGAACCGCTGATAGTGCCAGAAGGGCTAACCCATATGGAGTGAACTGTAGAAAAATAGCAGAGCACTAATTACAGAAACTGGTATGCAGATCTTGGTGGCTATTTGGAATTCCAGTCAGTGGGACGACCATGTAGAAGAGACTGGCCAGCATCAAACTGCTACACAGAGAATAGTCCATGAGAAAACTCAGATCCCTGGCTGGATTTTTCACAAAGCTCAGGTACTTATGTGCAGCCTTCCCTTGGCTCAGAAACAACTAAAAGGTCAGGTTTGGGATCTGATGCCTGATCAAGTCTTCTCCAGATGAGCAACAATGGCAGGGCAGTAGTATAGTCCAGGGAAACATTTAACATCCAGTGCTCACTGTAAGTTTTACCCAGACCAGGAAACAATAGCAGGGCAATGAATTAGTTCCAGTGCAGTGTTTTAGTTGTGGTGCTGACTGTAGACCTTCCTGTAACAGGCAGAAACTACAGGCCAGTGTTTAAGTTATGATGCAAAGCAGTATGGGTAAAACACCAACCAAAACACCTGCACAAACTGGAAGAAGTGGCTCTCTTCTTAAATGCACAAGCATCAGTGTAAAGACAAAAGGATGGTGAAAACTCAGAAATATAGCAAACCAAAGGAAACCAACAAACCTTTAACAACAGACGCAGAAGAACTGAAGATCTATGAAACAGGGAATTTAGAATAATTCTTTTAAAGAAGTTCAGGAAATCACGAGAAAATATGGGTAGAAACTAAATACAATTTACGGAACAATCCAGGAAACAAAAATTTTTTCAAAGAAATGGAAAGTTAAAAGTACAAACAGAAATCCTAGAAATAAAAAATAAAATAACTGAAGTATAAAATTCATTAAAAAGGTTTAACAACAGCTTCAAGCAAATACAGGAAAGAATTACCAAGTTTAAAGACAGAACTTATAATGAAATTATTCAAGCAGAGAAGCAAAAAGAAAAATGAGTGAAAAAGAGTGATGAAGGGCTATGAGAATTATGGGACATTATCAAGCAAATAAATTTCACCAAATAAGTGAAAGATATTTACAATAAAAATTATAAAACACTGGTGAAAGAAATTCAGGAGTATATAAAAATGGAGAGTCCATGCTCATGGATTGGAAGAATAAATATTGTTAAAATTTCCATACTTCTCAAAATAATCTACAGATTTAACCCAAACCTTATGAAAATACCAGTGACATTCTTCACAGAAATAGAAAAAAAAAATCCTAAAATGTGTATGGAAGCACAAAAGACCCCAAATAGCCAAAGCAATCCAGAGCAAAAAGAACAAAGCTGCAGACGTCACACTACCAGACTACAAAACTCTAGTAGTAAACAAAACATGACACTGATATATAAACAGAAATATAGATCAATGGAACAGAACAGACAATCTAGAAATGAATCTACACATGTACAGACAACTCATTTTCAACAGAGGTGCCAAAAACATACATTTGGGAAAGGACAATCCCTTCCATAAATGGCGCTGGGAAAACTGGATATCCATATGCAGAAGGATGAAACTAGGCCCGTTTCTCAACATATACACAAATCATATCAAAATGGATTAAAGACTTAAATGTAAGATCTGAAACTCTAAAACTACTATAAGAAAACATTGGAGAAATGCTTCAGTACATTGACCTGGGCAAGGATATTTTGGTTAAGACCTCAAAAGCACAAGCAACAAAAATAAAAATAAATAAATGAGATTACAGTAAAGTAAACTTCTGCACAGCAAAGGAAACAATCAACAGAGTGAAAAGACAACCTACATAATGTGAGAAAATATTTGCCAACTATGTATCTGCAAAGGAATTAATAACCAGAATATATAAGAAACTCAAACAATAAAATAGCAACACAGCCACAAACAAATGATACCCAAATAATCCAACTGAAATGGGCAAATGATTAGAATAGAAATTCCTCAGAAAAAGACATGCATATGGCTAACAAGTATATGAAAAAATGCTCAACATCACTAGTATGAAGGGCAAATTAAAACCACATTATGCAAATTAAAACCACATTGAGATATTACCTATCCTACTTAAACTTGCTATTATTAAGAAGACAAAAAATAACAAATGCTAGTGAAGATGTGGAAAAAGAAGAACACTAATACACTCTGGTAAGAATGTAAATTAGTACAGCCACTATAAAAAACAGTTTCGAGGGTTCTCAAAAACCTAAACATAGATCTATCATATAATCCAACAATCGCACCACTGGGCATGTATCCAAAAGAAAGGAAATTAGAATACTGAAGAGTTATCTGCACTTCTATGTTTATTGCAGCACTATTCACATTAGATAAGATAGGGAAGCAAACAAATAAATGAATAAACAGCACTATCCACATTAGATGAGATAGGAAGCAAAAAATAAATGGATAAACAAAATGTGGTATATCTACATAGTGGAATATTATTCAGCCGTAAAAACAAAGAAACTTCTGTAAGTTCAGCAACACTGGTAGACATTATATTAAACGCAATAAGCCAGGCACAGAAAGGCAAACATTGATGTTCTCACTTATAAGTAGAAGTTAGAAAAGTTGATCTCATGAAGGCAAAGAGCAGAATGATGGCTGTCAGAGGCTGGGAAGGGTAGTGGGGAGAAAGGAATAAAGAGTGTCTGGCTAATGGGTACAAAAATGCAGTTAGAAGGAATAAATTAAAGTGTTTGATAGTACAACAGGGTAATGATAGTTAACAATAACGTTGTATATTTCAAAATGGCTAGAAGAGAAGGTTTGGAGTGTTATCAGCACAAAGAAATGTTAAGTGTTTTGGGTGATGAATATCCTAATTCCTGTTATTTGATTATTATATATTGTATACATATATCAAAATATCACATGTACACCGTAAATACATACAATTATTAATGTATCAGTTAAAAAAGCTAAAAAGAAACAAATGACTTATTGGTTGAACCCATCCAGTAGAATAAACATAGACTGATAAATGACCACTCATTCACCAGTATGTCTAGATAGCATGCACTCCTAAAACTGAACCTAAAAGTAATTTACATATTTCTGAATATACATTTAATACATATAATTTGACTGATGATAAATTACATTCCTTAGAAATTTATATATCTTTAATTACAATTAATATGGAATATTTCTCAAATGTCTATTTTGATTCTGCTATTTGTGGCTCTTTTTGAACTGTGTCTTTCTGACCTTTGCCATTTTTGTCTGTCATTATACTTATGTTCTGAAAGCTCTGGGATTTCTGAGTATGAACCTTAACTAATCCCTGCCACTTGGTTCCTGCATTCAATCAGTCACCTTGTCTGTTCATTTTGTTTCCTAAATATCCCTCAAATCTGTCTACAGTGCTTCAACCTTCTGGCCCCTGTCCTGGCTCAGCCACCATCACCATTTCTATGCATCAGCTCCTCAGAGGTCTGTCTGCCTCTCATCCTGGCTTTTTCCAATTTATTTTCCACATTGCAGCTAGAGTGTTCATTTCAGAGTACAGGTCACATGCCTACTGAAAACTCTTTTAGGGCTTCTTGTCACCCTCGAAGTAAGTCCAAGCTTCCTAACCAAGCACGTGGAGGCCCTGCTAACTCCTCTAGCTTCCTTCTTCTCCACTCTCCACCTTAAGCTTTCTCTACTGCGATGATGAGCATTTGTGTGGTATAAGAATCACCTCCGTGCTGTTTCATCTCCCAGTATTCACATAGGCTGTCTTCTCTACCTCAATTACTGTTAAAAATCAATAACAGAAGGAATGTTGGAAACTCTACAAATTCCTGGAAATTAAACAATGTATTCCTGAACAACAAATGGTCAATAAAGACATTAAAAAGTAAACTAAAAAATTATTTGAGACAAGTGAAAATAGAAAACAACATACCAAATTCTGTGGGATACAGCAAAAGCAATTCTATGATGGAAGTCTATAGCAATAAATGCCTATGTTCAAAAAACCAACTTTAAATAAACAACTTGAGAAACCTCAAGAAACTAAAAAAGCAAGAACAAACCAAACACAAAATTAGAAGAAAATAAATAATAAACATCAGAAATAAATGAAAGTGATACTTAAAAAAATACAAAATATCAATGAAACAAAAAGTTGTTTATTTGAAAACTTAAAATTAACATGCCTTCTGCTAGACTAAGAAAAAAAGCCAAAAGAATAAAATGAGTAAAATCAGAGACAAGGAGACAATTACTCTTCTGTCCCCTTGCCTAACTGACATTTCATCCTTTATTCTTCATTTAAAACCGTCACCCCTAGAAGACTTTCATGCACCCTGGAAATGAGAATGAGTGGATTTCCCAGCTCCATGACTCACTCTGCCCACTCCGTTTTATTTTATCCCTAGTGTCTAGCACAGTTCCCATCTCATGGTGGATGCCAGATTGACATTTATCAAATGTATACAAGTGCTTTTAGTTAACATGTATTGAGTACTCACTAATGCCAGATATGTGCTAAAGCAGTTTATAGATTTTATCTCATGTAATCCTCAGAACAACTCTCTCAGATGGTTATGCTCATTTTGTAGGTGAGGAAGCTGAGGCTTTGGGAGATTGCACACAGAAAAGCAGTAGGGTTGCCAACATCTGTCCCCGTGAAGAGTTGGCTGTACAGAACATTGTTTTCCACATCTGAGGGATCTGTGAAGGTCCTTCATAAGTAAAAGTCATTGAATCTTTGTAAGTTCTATTTGTTGGAAATATTTTCCCCAAGCTGTGATGCCTCCTATACAATTTTGTATTTGGTTTGATTATCTTGAAGTTGAAAATCTTTTAGTTATTAAATAGTAAAACTATGGCCCCTGCCACTCTTTTCCAGATGGCTTGTCTACAGATTATGCTTTGAGGAGTTCTATCTTTTCTAAGTTAAATTGTTCATGTACATTGCTACTTAATTTTTTACAGTCTAATTGCCTTAGATTGAACTCTTTAAACTCTTCAAAATTTGTTTTGTCTGTGTAGAGTATGTGATGAGGAACTATTTTCCCCCCAAATGGTAAATTTTTTCTGAAACCATTTATTGGAAAATTTAGTGCTTCCTAGTAGGTTATGATAGTTCTGATACTATTTTTAATATTATTTTATACTTAACAGCGTTTTGAGGGACTTTTGCTAGTTGATATGTCAGTTCTTGAACTAGTACCAGAGTGTGGTTAATAACTTCTTTTTTATTTGGTGAGATAAATTCCGCCTCTGGTGTGACATTTCCCCCAACAATTTCCTTACCTTGGTTGATCCCACTTACTGTTTACTTGGATGATTTACTTTTTATTTCATCCTTGAAACATTTACTGGCATAATTCTTTAAAACTAAATATAACACGTTTATTATATAATATCAGGGAGTATAAAAAATTAAAATAAATGGAATCCAGAAATATTAACAGTAACATTTTATTTCCTCATGGTTTTATTCTAGAGGAACATGGGTAACAGGGTTGGGCTCGTATTGAATACAACTTATATCTTGCTTCTGCCTCCCTCCCCAAGTTATCTTGTAAGCATTTTTATATCTGATTAAATTTTGGAATCACAAGTTTTAATATTGCATGATAGTCACTTAAATAAAATTCTGAAAATCCATTTAGTGATGCCGCTATTGGTGGATATTTGGGTTATTACCATATTTTCTCCTTTAAACAGTGTTGTAATGAAAATCTGTGTAAATAGATTTTTACTCACATTTGATCATTTCCTTAGGGTATATTTCTAAATCTGGGTCAACAGGTATGAGCAATTTTAAGGCTTCAAATTGCTTTTTAAAAAGATTGCACCAATTTAAACTCTCACCAGCAGTGTATGAAGATGTCTGTTTTTACCACCAAAACTGGGGTATTATTATTTCATTGAGATTTTCATTGGGGTTATGTTAAATCTATAAATCAATTTAGAAAAATTGCTTTCTTTACAATATTGATTCTTTTCTTTCAGGAAGATAGTGTGTCTCCATTTAATTAAATTTTTATTTTATGCCTCTCAGGGAAGTTTTGTTGTTTTCCTTATATAAATACTGCTTATTTATTATCAAGATTAATTCTGAGTATATAACGGCATTTTACTCCTTTTGTTTTCAGCTATTGTGAGTGCCATTCAAAAGAATTTATATCCTTTACTTTGCCCAAAGTATGTCCTATAATCATCCAGCCTTCCAGATGCCCTGTAAAAAACGAAGGGGCTCTGTGTTCAAACTGGTTTGGGAAAGACTATGATCTTCACATGGAAACCTTAATACACATAAAAACTTGAGAATTCCTATTGAAAACAAACCTGTTTAATATTATTTATTATTACACCTAGGACCTGCCAAACTTATTTGATGATAGACTATTTACTTCTTATATAAAAAATAAAATTTTAATGTAAAATCTATTATTGTACAGTAGAGTTGATACAGTTGCCCTGAGGCTAATGTTATGGACTAACAAATGGCATCAGTCTCCATTTCTCCCTGCAATTACACCCTTTGCTGTGTAACTGTGGAGGGCTCTTGTGTTCCGACTTTGAGCTTGGCCATGTTGCTTGGCCAATGGGATGGTAGCAAACATAAAGCACACAGTGGCTTTAAAGTGGTCTTGCTCACCATTGCACTCTTCTATGTCCATGAGAAACACATGCCTATGGCACCCTGTTAGAAGATGAGAGATATTTGGAGTGGAGTTGAGTTATGCTAGTTAACCCAGTTGAAGCTCAGTGACATCATCCCCAAACCAGTCAACCTTCTTCACGAGCATGAGGTCAGTCAAGACTAGAAGAAACACTTAGTTGGCCTTCAGATTCATAAACTAAACTAATTATGGTCGATTTAAGCCACTGAGCTTTGGGGTGACTTGTTACATGGCATTTTTGTGGCAGTAGATAACTTATAGGCTCACTGTGAGCAGATAGAATGTAGGTAGTTAGTTTAAACATGATAGTTTTTATCATATTAGGAAATTCTTTCATTGTTATTTTTCCAAATGGTTTTCTGCCAAAAAAAAAAAAAAAGTTACTGAATAATTTTGGGGGCCACAATTGAGATTATTTTCAGTTTTTCTAATTAATGTGGTATTTTGTATTAATAGACTTCCTAATTATAACATGTCCTGTCCTTCCTAGGATGAATCATTCTTGGTAACAGTTGATCAATCTTTTCATGTACTATTGCATTCCATATGCTATTATTTTCCTTAGAGATTTAGCATCTATATTCATAAGTGGAATCAGTTTATAGTTTCCTATTTTGGTTCATTTTTTTCATTTTTGGTACAAGATGTATGCCGACTTTATAAAATGGCTCAGTTTTTCATGTTTACTGATGCTCTGGATCGATGTTTATAATTTGGAAATTATCGAATCCTTAAAAGACTAATAAAATTCACTGCTAAAGTCATCTGGTCATGGAAACTTTTGATAGTTTATTACCTACTTAATAGTTTTAATTTTTACCTCTGATGATTGGTCTTAAGGTCTTCTACTTCTTTTTAATTAAATTTTTAGAAATTTAGATTACTTTTGTGATGGCCAATTATATACATCCTGTACTTTATGTATTTTTGGAAGCTCTCTTTCAATCATTTTGAAATCACATCTGATATAATAAATAAATATCAGACCATTTATTTCAGTCACTGCAATTTAATATCAGACCTAACATAAGTTTTTGTCTTAATACGACCGAACATTTCTGTGTATAACAGTATGGCTACACCTCTGGCCATCATGTTTCTAACTTCTTGGTAGCTGTGTGGTGGGAGTCCTGTCTCACAGTAGTTTGATGTACTTCTTATGGTTGGGGAACACAGGCTGAAAGAAATATTATGGATTCATAAATGTTGGAATTTTGAATACTTTTACATGATTTCTGACCATAATGTAAAAGAATACTAGAAAGGAAAACTCTTCTAAAAATCCTAGAACCAGGTTGTCATATTTATTGGCCTATGTTATGGTTAACATGGGATTTGAGGTTGAACACACAGTATTTGGGAGCATCTTTTGCTGTCCTGGGCTGTTTCCCCAATGGCTTCAAGATAACAAACGAAGGGAAGGCGCTTACCAGCCACAGAGTAGGATCTAGCTCTTTGCTCTGCAGGCTCTGCTGAGCTCTGCTAATTATTCAGTTCTCAGATTTCAGGCACTTTGTTATGCTAGCAGCCATGGTAAATATTTATACAGTGCTTATCATGTGCCAGGCACTACTCTAAGCACTATTATTATATCATATCATTTTACTAATTAGGAAAGGGAGCCACCAAAAGGTTACATAATTTGTCTGGGCTCACCAGTTTGTGAGTGCAGATGTTAAGATTCAAATCCAGGCAACTGGGCTCCATGCTCTGTGCTGTTAGACACTCTGCATGCTGCCTCTCAATCTTTTTCAGTTTTCTTTAGTTTTGACATGGAGTTTTGTTCTTGCTGCCTAGGCTGGATTGCAATGGCACAATCTTGGCTCACCACAACTTCCGCCCCCAGGTTCAAGAGATTCTCCTGCCTCAGCCTCCTGAGTAGCTGGGATTACAGGCATGGGCCACTACACCTGGCTAATTTTGCATTTTTAGTAGAAATGGGGTTTCTCTATGTTGGTCAGGCTGGTCTCAAACTCCTGACCTCAGGTGATCTGCCCGCCTTGGCATCCCAAAGTGCTGGGAATATAGGTGTGAGCCACATTTTGCATTTTTAAAAATCAGTTTGCCAGAGTGCATGGCTCAGTATTGAACTTTTAGTAGATGTTGGATACTATAGACTTTTTTTATAGAGGATAGAAGAAGTGAAGAAAGAGAGAAAACAGTTGAAGAAGAAAGAGTAACATGGTGTCTTGGGGAGAACTTGTGGTTTCTGAGTTGAGACTTTGATTTCAGCTATTAAAAAATAGAAACAGGCCGGGTGCGGTGGCTCATGCCTATAATCCCAGGACTTTGGGAGGTCGAGGCGGGTGGATCACGAGGTCAAGAGTTTGAGACCATCCTGGTCAACATGGTGAAACCCCGTCTCTGCTAAAAATACAAAAATTAGCTGGGCATGGTGGCGCATATCTGCAGTCCCAGTTACTCGGGAGGCTGAGGCAGGAGAGTTGCTTGAACCCAGGAGGCGGAGGTTGCAGTAAGTCGAGATCGCACCATTGCACTCCAGCCTGAGTAACAAGAGCGAAACTCCATCTCAAAAAAAAAAAGAAAAAAAAATAGAAACAATAAAATATCTTTCTCATAGGGTTACTCTGATGGTTTCCTAAGCAAAGAGCCTGACATACGATTAACACTCCCTGATACTAGTACTAGTGGATCCTAATAAATGATGGTGATGATGAATGATGACCATAAAACCAAGCTCTGCCAGCAATTGGGTCTATAATCTTGCTCATGTCACTTTGTTTCCTGGCCCTCAGTTTCCTCATTTGTTAGCCAGAGGACTACCTCGTGGCTCTATGACTGTATTAGTCCATTCTTGCATTGCTATAAAGAGATAATTGACACGGGGTAATTTATAAAGAAAAGAGGTTTAATTGGCTCATAGTTCTACAGGCTGTACAGGAAGCAGAGGCTGCTGCTTGGCTTACGGGGAGGCCTCAGGAAACTTATAGTCATAGCAGAAGGTGAGGGGAAACAGACATATCTTGCATGGCTGGAGTAGGAGGAAGAGTGAGAGGAGGTGCTACACACTTTTAAACAACCAGATTTCTAGAGACAAGCACCAAGCGGATGGTGCTAAACCATTCATGAAGGATCCACCCCTATGATCCAATCACCTCACACTAAATCCACCTCCAACATTGAGGACTGTAACTGATCATGAGATTTGTGTGGGAACACAGATCCAAACCATATCAATGACCAAGTGATCTGTGACCACAGAGGAGACTGAGCAGGAGAGAGTGTGAGAGAACACAAGGTAATGGCTACTGCTGAGTGGGGTATCTGTTTAGAGGGTCTGGGGGACTCCCCCTGCATCTGGGCACAAAAGTATGTGTTTGTCTAGCTCATGTCACTCACCTCAAGGCACCTTGCGGATGGAGAGGTGAGCTAGGGATGTGGGTGGTGTCCTTAGTGATTTTCTACATAACAATACCTTCATGGCCCATCAAGAATAGGGTTGATTTGCAGAAAGCTGAAACTGGACCCCTTCCTGACACCTTACACTAAAATTAACTACAGATGGATTAAAGATCTAAACATAAGACCAAACACCATAAAAACCCTAGAAGAAAACCTAGGCAATACCATTCAGGACGTAGGCATAGGCAAGGACTTCATGACTAAAACACCAAAAGCTATGGCAACAAAAGCCAAAATAGACAAATGGGACCTAATTAAACTTAAGAATTTCTGCAAAGCAAAAGAAACAATTATTACAGTGAACTGGCAACCAACAGAATGGGAAACAATTTTTGCAACCTACCCATCTGACAAAGGGCTCATAGCCAGAATTGACAAAGAACTAAAGCAGATTTACAAGAAATAAACAAACAAACCCATTCAAAAGTGGGCAAAGGATATGAACAGACGCTTTTCAAAAGAAGACATTTGTGAGGCCAAACAGACATATGAAAAAATGCTCAGCATCAGAGAAATGCAAATCAAAATCACATTGAGATATCATCTCACGTCAGTTAGAATGGTGATCATTAAAAAATCTGGAGACAGATGCTGGAGAGGATGTGGAGAAATAGGAACACTTTTCGATTGTTGATGGGAGTGTAAATTAGTTCAACCATTATGGAGCAGTGTGGCAGTTCCTCAAAGATCTACAAATAGAAACTCCATTTGACCCAGCAGTCCCATTACTGGGTATATACCCAAAGGATTATAAATAATTCTGTTATAAAGACACATTCACATGTATGTTCATTGCTGCACTATTTACAATAGCAAAGACTTGGAACCAACCCAAATGCCCATCAATGATAGACTGGATAAAGAAAATGTGGCATATATACACCATGGAATACTACACAGCCATAAAAGAGGATTAGTTCATGATCTTTGTAGGGATATGGGTGAATCTGGAAACCATCATTCTCAGCAAACCAACACAAGAACAGAAAACCAAACACCACATGTTCTCACTCACAGGCGGGTGATGAACAATGAGAAAACATAGGCACAGGGAGGGGAACATCACACACTGGGGTCTGTTGGGGGTTGGGGGTTAGGGGAGGGACAGCGAGGGATAGGGAGAAAAAAAGAAACTTAAATATTTACCTACAATAATGGAAAGTCAATAAATAATATATAAATTTCAAAAAAAGTAGGGTTGATGGTCCATCAACTGAGCAAACAATTACTAGGATGCCCAGTAAAATTTGAATTTCAGACAGGTCATGAATAACTGTTTTAAGTATGTTCCAAACAGTGGATGGGCCATACTTATACTAAACAATTATTTGTTATTTAGACTCAGTTACCTGGGCTTCTCTGCCTGGTCCACTATCCAGGTCTCCCAGATGGGGAGGCTGCATGCACTCGGCCAACTTGTCCCCTTAAGTCAAAGACCTGGGTTCTAGAATCTCTATCTTCTGTGCTCCTTCTTCTTCTGGAGAAAAGAACAGAATAATTACATGAGGAAATTTGTTTGCTATAAATTGCCAACAGAAAAGCCTCTCCAGATTCAATAAGGCAATTATTATATCCTGAGTAAAGAACACTTGATTATTCCAAACAAATGTACCAGACTGTGCTTTAACAGAAATCTGTATCTATAACCTGTTGTAGTTGTTAAGTCAGAAGTAAATATGTTCTTAATAACCAACTGGTATTTATTTAGTGTACAATAACTTGCTTGCTAAGCTTAAATGAAATGCACAGTTAATTAAAACTGCTTCTGTACTAAGTCCTCTAGGGAAAATATTTTACACACTTTCTGACTTGGGATTTTTTTTTTTAACCTTCGTTTCTCAACTGAGCCCCTGTTGGTAGCTTTTAATTTGATGTGCTTAGAGGTCTGCAGATATTTTTTGCTGGTCAATTCTCATCCTGCTCAGGGATATAGAAACTCTACTTTTTACCCAGAGTTCAGGAATCTTTAGGGAGACCCCAAGGTGAGGCTGCACAGGTTAGTGCCCCACACCTTGCTTCCACTTGGAGGTGGCAGTTGCATCTGAATATACCTACTCACTCGAGGTTAAGCTGGGCCTTTTGCTTTGTCTCTTTGAACCTGAGTTTTCCAGTCTATGAAACAAATCAGGTGTTTGACAGGTCAGAAAATAATCAGGGTAGGATTTGAAAGCACAGGCTAACGTTGACTTTTTTTCCTTTTCTTTTTTTTTTAGACGGAGTCTCACTCTGTTGCCCAGGCTGGAAAGCAGTAGTGTGATCTCGGCTCACTGCAACCTCCACCTTCAGGATTCAGGCGATTTTTCTGCCTCAGCCCCCCAAGTAGCTGGGACTATAGGCGTGCTACTACGCCCAGCTAATTTTTTTGTATTTTTAGGAGAGATGAGGGTTTCACCATCTTGGCCAGGCTGGTCTCGAACTCCTGACCTCATGATCCACCTGCCTTGGCCTCCCGAAGCTCTGGGATTACAGGAATGAGCCACCACACCCAGCCCCCCCCTTTTTTTTTGAGATGGAGTTTTGTTCTTGTTGCCCAGGCTGGAGTGCAATGGTGCAATCTCCGCCCACTGCAATGTTGGCATCCCAGGTCAAGTGATTCTCCTGCCTTAGCCTCCCGAGCAGTTGGGATTACAGGCATCTACCACCATGCCTGGCTCATTTTTGTATTTTTAGTGGAGATGGAGTTTCACCATGTTTGCCAGGCTGGTAACCTTGATTTCTTAAAGGGGTCTTGACTTGTGCCTGTCTGTCCTGCTGTGTGAATCCAGATTTGGTGCTGTTTACAGATGGCTGTGAGGTATTTGCTTATTAATCCACTCACTCATCTTCTCATTATTCATGAAGCATTAATGCCCAAGTGTCTACTGGACCTGAGGCCTCATGAGTGCTGTGATTCCAGAGACAAAGTCCCATTCCTACCCGTGTCTTTTACAGATGTATAAATTTGAATTTATGCAATTCCAGAAGGCATTTCACTCCCCTGAGGTTGTTTCCTTTGCTGCAAAGTGAGGAGAGTGCCTTCCCTACAAATCACTGAATGGTTGTGAAGTTCAAATGAGACAATGTATGCACAAATGCTTTCAAAAGTCTAAAGAATTAACATATAAATGTGTATTTCCCCCAATAGCAGTAGTTCTCGAGAGTACCACATGGGATTTGCAGATCTTCACAGTGCTGAGGACCAGAGCGTGACAACCTGTAAATGCCAGGCAAGCTTGGCATGCCAGGGGATGGGCAGCCCAGACTCCCAAAAGACCCCTGGGGGTGAGAGCCAGCCGAATAATTAATAAAGCCTGATGTTCATGTGGGATGTTGAGAATAGAAAGTACTTTCAAAGCCATGACCTCATTTGATTTTTGCAGCATCCCTACCAGGATGGCAGAACAGACCTCCTCCTTGTCACAATAGGAGTAACTGGGCCTCAATGATGGGAAATTACTGGTCCAAGGTCACTCTATGAATAGTTGTGAAAAACAGCACACAAGTCATCCCTTTACATCACAGAGGCTTTTAAGTGAGCACACGTCTCTTCTCCAGTGGGCTGAGGACCTGAGGGTCTGGCGAGACCTAGACCTTGAAGAGTGTGTGCAGTAGAGGAGGGGACCCTGTGAATGGATTAGGGAAAGACTTGTTCCATGGTACAGAGTTAAGCAAGTGAGTTTGGACTGGATTCCAGGACCCCTCATTCCTCACTGGATTCTCTTAGGGGTCAGGATACAACCGTAACAGGAGTATCTGGGGGTCCTAGGTGGGTGGGGCGTTGACTGGGCTGGGTTGCCCCTGAAGGAGGTCACTGGGACTGCTGACCTTCCAGAGACTACCCCAGGTTTCCTTGATCCTGTGATTGTCTCCATCCTGGTCTCAGGCGGTGTAATAAAAAGTTAATATCTGATTTCAGTGGGAAGCCATTAGCTGACTATAATTACTTGGGTGTGTAACATGAAAGGCTGGTGTCATTATGATTCGGAGGTAATGGGGGAGCACACTCAGCAAGGTTTTGTGCTAATGTTGTCGTTTTCTTCCTTTGTCTCTCAAATTCCCTGCATTAAGCAGATAGACTTATCTCTTCTGGTCTCTGGGATGGATCTCCTCCCACATCCTTTCTGACAACAGTGGGTATTTGGAAGTGGGGCTCAGGATCCCAGAGGGGACTTCTAGGCCTGCCCAGCCTGTGCTGGGAGCCACTGAGTTTTGCTTTTCCCATCCTAAGCCAGAAAAGAACAGGGGTGTGGGAGTGAGGAGCCCCCTTTCCAGTACTAGCTCTGTCCCTGAAATGATCCTGGGGCCTCTGGCTCCTTGGCTCGGAGATTCCCCATATGGGAGGTGAGGAGATGGGGAAGGATGATTTCCAAGGATGTTGTAACAGCATCTTGTGTTTCTTGGGACCCTTGCCCCATATAGGAGATGCCAGACCCAGGCTCCAGGGAAACCAAAGGGACAGGCAAAGGAGGTTGGGGGAGCTTGGCTCCCTGGCCAGAGAGGAGCTACTTGTGCTTTCCATTAAGGGAGCCACAAGCTACATGTGGCTTTCTAAGTTTTTCATTATTTAAAATGAAATGAAATGAAAATTAAATGATGACTTCCATCCCTCCATCTCCCTAGCCACACACACTTCCAGCGCCCAGCAGCTACATGGGTTTGCGGCTCCCATGTTGGAGAGTGCAGATTCAGAGCAGTTCCATTATGGCAGAGTGTTCCGCTGGATGGTGCTGAGGATGGCATGGGGCCTCTGGGTATGCGGTTGTGGAGGGAAGCCAGGTTTGGGGTCTGGTCAGCCTTACAATCCTGGATATGTCATTTAAAGATATGTGACTTTGGGCAAACCCCTTAACCCTTCTGAACCACTGTACAATGGAAATCATAATACCATTTGGTAGAGTATTAAGTGATTTGAGTATCATTATGTTGAATATTAAAACAAAGCAAATACGCAAAGGAGTGGTGGGACCACTGCATTATCACCCTTTAGCAGTTCCTGACCCAGAAAGGTATCCTGCTGGGTCATCTTAGGAAGAAGTGACCATGGAGATGACTTCCTTAAATCTTCACATGGCCCATCTGCCCTGATGTTTTTGCAATTCACTAAAGTCTTTGGCTATGTTATTTTATTATTATTATTTTACAGACAGAACTATCGCCTGCTTATTTCTTCCTTCTCTCCCCTCATCTTCTCTCTCCTACTCCCTCACCTCCACCTGTCATCTTCTAGGGATGCCCCTAAAAATACAGGATATAAGTTAAATCAGAATTCCAGAGAAGCAAAAAAATCTATTTTTTTTTAGGATAAGTATATCCCATGCATTATTTGGGACATACTTAGACTAAAACATGACTTGTTGCTTGTCTAATATTCTAATTTGACTGGATGTCTTGCGACTTATCTGGCAACCCTACCCTCCTTATTTGCCATTATTGGGCTTGAAGACCAGGTGCCAGGCCAGAAGGTATGTGCTTGAGGTCTGCGGGATAGGTGTTGGGGATTCTCTCACATTTCTGTGCGTTTCTTGGTGTGTGTCTGCTCATGTGACAAGGTGCCTGTGAGTAGACACAA